TTTTTTTAAATTTTTTAATTAAGAAATAATATAAAAAGTAAATGTTTAAATGAGAAGAAAGCATTTACCCTTAATTTTTCTAAAACTGAAAATATAATAGAACCAACAACTGTCAAATGATGAAACAACCACTAATTGCAGGAATATTCAATCAATTCATAAATTCCCTTATTTGATTTTAAAAATTAATTTGTAAATTTACCTTACTTGGTTTCATTTTAAAATTTCGCACTCTAGCAGCAGCATTGTTTAATTGAATTGTTTTTTATTTTATTTCAAAAAATATTTATTTATTTATTTATTTTAATTAAGAAGAAATATAAAAGGTAAATGTTGAAATAAGAAGAATGCCTTTACCCTAAATTTTTCTAAAACTGAAAAAATAATATTATGTAACCAATAATTAAGAACCTGTCAAATGATAAAACAATCATTAATTGCAGGAATAATTAATCAATTGATAAGTTCCCTAATTTGATTTAAAAAATAATTTACAAATTTACCTTAATTGGTTTCATTTTAAAATTTCTAATCACTGCCATACCACTCTAGCAGCATTGTTTAATTGAATTTATTTTATTTAATTTGCCAAAAAAGTTTTTTTTTTCAATTAAGAAATAATATAAAAGGTAAATCTTTAAATGAGAAGAAATCATTTACCCTTAATTTTTCTAAGACTGAAAAAATAATATAATATAAGGAAGGATCCGTTTATAAATTTCTTTTTACAAATTTTGTAAATTACACTATGAACTCCTGAGAGAACATAGTGTAACTTTAACCGAGTGTTTTTCCGGGAGCACATAGTGTAGTTTCTACGAGTTTGTAAATAAAAAGTTTGTAAATATAACCCTCCCAATATAATATAACCAATAATTAAGAACTTTTCAAATGATGAAACAACCATTAATTACCGGAAAAATCAATCAATTCATAAATTCCCTTACTCGATTTTAAAAATTAATTTTGAAATTTACCTTAATTGTTTTCATTTTAAAATCTCTAATTACTAGCACTCTAAAAGCATTGTTTAATTGAATTATTTTTTTCTCCTAGAAGTTATTTATTTGTTTATTTAAATTAAGAAATAATATAAAAGGTAAATGTTGAAATAAGAAGAATGCCATTACCCTAAACTTTTCTAACATTAACCAATAATTACAGAAGTTTTTAAATGATTAATCATCCAGTAAATGTAGGAAATATTAATAGATTCATAATTTAATTTTAAAAATTAATTTATAATTCTACCTTAGTTGGTTCCATATATTTCAGAATTTCTGGCCGACTAGCAGGATTTTTTTTATTTGATTTTTTTTAAATTTTTAAGTTAACAAATAATTTAACAGGTAAATATTGAAATGAAAAAATTGATTTTACCTTTAAATTTTCCAAATATAAAAAATAGAAAAATATAGTCAATAATTACAGAAGTTGTAAAATGATAAAACAACCATTATACAATTGCAGGAAAAAATAATCAATCGATAATTTTCCTTACTTGATTATAAAAATTAATTTATATATTGTTTTACTTTAATTGATTTCATTTCACAATTTCTAGCTGTATTGTTTAATTTGATTGGTTTTTTGTATGTTTCTTTTAAAGTAAGGAATAATGGAAAGGTAAATATTGAAATGAGATAAATGGTTTTACCATTAACTTTACTAAGACTAAAAAAATTATAAAATATAACATTAAACATGTAGATCACATAGCATGAGGTTATTTCGACTTAATTAGTGATATACTCTTGAGTTTGAGTTTCGAGTACCCGATTAGATGGGACTAATTGAGTAATCGAAAATTTATAAAAAATAAAATAAAATAAACACAACTAATACGACCAATAGTTACAAAAGTTGACGGATGACAAAACAACCATTAATTGCAACAGAAATTAATTACTTTTTATTATTATAATTGTTAAATGTTCGGGAGATTAGCATTGTAATATGAACTAAAATAATACTATTATAAACGTTAAATTCAGATAAGATAAGCTTCATGAGTTTTTTTTATTCTTTATTTCCTTAATTTTGTTTTCTCCTTTAGTTGTTCCTGTACATATTCATAATTTTTTTTTATCGATATTCAAAATATATTCCTCACTAATGATATTATACGATTCTGTGAGTTGTATAGCATGTTATATATTATATCTATCAAATTAGTTCTCATTCGGTTTTATATTATTTATTTATTTATTTATTTTCGCAAATATGATGGTAGGGACTTGGGATGCATGCACCTATGAGATATATTACATTTTATATATGGAATAATATTTTATGTTATTTTATCTTTGGTGAGAGATTTGTAATATTCTAATAATTCCATTTGTAAATAATTTAGTAATTTAGCAGAAGACTGGTACAAAACGACAGACATGCTCATTCTCAATTGATAATAATGAAGTTAGATCCGAATTAGTAGGCTCACGCATTTTAATGTAGCTTAACGTATTAGAATTATAAATTATAAAACTTAAGAAAAAGGACACAATAGGACTGTTGAGCGTTGACCTTACTAGAGGCTAACGTGTTCAAGTTGTAGGGAACCTTTCCCTCGGACCCTCACACACATATTGACTATGGGTAATAGTTTTCTCATGTAGTAGGAGATAAATATTATCTCCTACAGACTCATATGTGCAGGTGGGGTCCACTTTCAGGAGGAGAGAGAAAAAGAATAAAGTGGGACCCATCTTGAATTTGTGTGTGTAGGAGATAAATTCTACCTTATGTGACATAAGAATAATAAATCCCATTGACTATTAAAAAAATTGCCATCACCGATGGATATGCCTGTTTTGACCATAGATTAAAAAACTGCCTCGGATCAATAAAAATTCGTAAAATTATATGAGTTAAAAAAGGGTAAAAAAATACAATAAAATCAATGAGTTCAGTTCAGTTGATAACAAACGCTACTTAAATAATCAAATATGGTAACTCAGTTGACGCATAGAAGTTAAACAACAGGGATGAGAGCATATATTCGATCCTTTTCAATATCATCTTTTAAAAGTAGAGAGATAATTATAGTCCTTATATGATTTACGACACAAAGTTTCCCATCAATATGAGAACTTAGATAAAATATCTAATTAAACTCATAGACTTGTACCTACCATTATCAAGAACCTCGTGATTGATCGAGAGTGAAGGAAATTTCCTTTCCCATACCTTTTAATTTGTTGATCCAAATCACGTTCTATGCATGCATAAAGGGTCACACTGTTATACACGTGTGAGGAATGAAAAGGGTCCTATTACCAACTCAAAAGCATGCTCTATTTGCCAATGTGTTCACAATTAGGGTCGGTTGATTTCTGTTTTGAAAAACAGTTTTTTAGTTTTCAGAATAAAAAAATTAAAAAGTTCATTTGGTAAGATCTGTTTAGTAAAAAATATTTTGAAAACTATAACTGTTTTTTGTTTTTGTTTTTAAAATCAAATTTAGAGAACATGTGTTTGAGTTGTTTTTGTTTTCTGTTTTGGTTTTTAACTTTAAAAAAAATAAAAATATAGAAAACAACTGTTTCCATAACTATTTTACAAAATAGTTTTAAGAATAAAAAAACCAGAACACAATCAAACAGGTCCTATTACGGTTTGAAAATTTTTAAAATTTTTTTGCTGATGATCTAGTTGAAGTACATGTTTTTTAATTGTGTATTGATCTGGCTAAATTTAACTACACGTTGTTTTCATTCTTTTGATTTACGTTTTATTAACAATATTTCCAAATAAAATATAAAAATAAACTAGATACATACGTTTATTTATCAATTTTAAGGGTTAAAAAAAATCTTACGATTTTAACATTATGGAAAATATATCCATTAACAAACATAAAAAGCTCAATGTGCTTACCGATAAATTCCAATTAACAACGTTTGATGCCTAATAATAAACAATCATATCTCTTGAGACCTGTCTACTACAGCCTGCAACTCGTTCCAAGAAGCACAACAAAACAGAAATTATATAACATACAAAAAAAAAAAAAAAATCATAGTTTCAACAAATAATTTAATTTAACAACTCTAAGCGAAACTACTTACATAGAATACATTTAAAATTATTACATTAATAAAACAGATATATACAGAAGAACAAACCCCGTGATTCCCGACTATGGGGAAAAAAATATTTCATATTATCTCTTATTTTTTGACAGCCACGTGATCTGAACCATTGGATCTTTTTATTTTGGGAAGTTTCGGGTCTGCATGGCCAGCACAGCATCACAGCAACACATGCATACAAAAAAAAAAAAAAAACACTTCACACATACGGCAGACACAGACATACACATGCATCACTAAAAACCACCGTTTTCAGTTTTTTACTGTCCATTCATAAATTTATCACAGCAATTCCCTGCAGGTAATTAATATTTAGATTAATTTTGTTTATTTTTTATTTTGTACATTTCATATGGTTCTTAGTTATGCCAAGGTCCACATTCTCATTTACATTCATTTAGCTAGATAGTTTAAAATGAGTGTACATGAGATTAATTGTTATTAGGTGACAACAGAAAAAATATGATCCAAGTGTAATTTAAGGACAAAAAAAAAAAATGAATCGTATGGGTAAAACTCGAAATCTTATCAAACCCATGTTTCTAATTTTAGAGAACATAATATTTTTGTCTATCATGTTAGACACGGTCAACAGATACAATACTAAAATACTATTATGTTTTAGCTAATAGTTCATTTTTATTAATTAATCTGTCACAAAACAAAATTGTTTTCCTTATTCAAGTTGGAAAAAAATAAAGATTGTATTCACATTGAATAATCAAGTATATTCCTTGCGTTCCATAATGTCGTCCATGCATATTTAAAACATATACACATCAACATGCTTACGATATTAAACCAAATTATCGTTTACTCTTCTCACATAGGCATTGAGAGGAGAGAGAGAAGAGATAGAAAGCTAGCCAGAGAAGGAGTTCTAAATTCCATTTGAAGATCGATTTAGGGTTTTTACTGTTATGTTATCACATATCTAGGTGTATGACTTGTCAACGATTTTACACCTATAGCTACGTTGGTGTGTTTCGAAGATCGAGTTTTAACCCCCTTTTTTTTTTCTTTATGTCCAAGCATGGTGGAGGATGAACAATAGGAGAAGTATATGAAAAAGGGTTTCCTTATTATTCCATTAAAATTAGTGGTTTTGATTCCCAAGTTAAAGAAGCTAGCTATTTACAAGGATGGAAGAAAGCCATGGCTCCCAATGTTCCAAGACAAGTTCATCTAACATTGATGAAGATGAGTGTGAAAGCAAGGTCGATGAAGATGAAAGTAAGCAAAACAACATGGGAGGAAGCTCAAGCAATAGCACAGTGGAAGAGAATGATAAGAAGATAAGGCCTTATGTTAGATCTAAGTTCCCAAGGCTAAGATGGACACCTGATCTTCATCATCGCTTTGTTCATGCTGTTCAAAGACTTGGAGGACATGAGAGTGAGTACCATAGCCTTTTTGAATTTCAGTTTTCCATATATATGATTAATTTTAGCATGGTTGCTTCAGAAAATACAATTTTAACTAGGATTGCCCTCGTCTCTATCTTCACTAGTCGAGATTTAATGGACAATAATTTTATTCATTTTTCTAATATTGATTTGTTGGGTATATATAGGAGCAACACCAAAGTTGGTCCTTCAATTGATGAATATCAAAGGTTTAAGCATTGCCCATGTCAAGAGTCATTTACAGGTAATTAATAGATAATATTCTTACCTAGACTTGACTTTTTTTATTAAAAAATAATTTTATTTTATTTTTCTTTTACAAATAAATTATTTAAAATTTATTCACCTGACATTTCCTAGTTTGGTTTATTTCTTTTCTTTCCCACCAATTCCTTTTTGCCAGATGTTTAGGAGCAAAAAGGTAGATGACCCAAATCAAGGTACAATGCAAAGAACCTTTTCTTGTATAAATATAACATTATCAATTAGTACTGATTAGGGTTTCTGATTACTTGTTTACATACAACAGTATTGGCCGATCCTAGGAATCTTGTAGAAACTGGAGACAGAAATATTTACAATCTCAGCCAACTTCCAATGCTTCAAGGATATAATCCAAGCCAAAGGTACGCATATATATAATTATCCTTGTTTTGCTTCAAATTCCCTCAAAACATTTGGAATTTCATTTCATCCATTAAATTTTTTCTTCTTCTTTTGTAGATATAGATTCGGGGATGCATCTTTTGGTGTCCGTGGAAGAATGGTGCATAGACCTTTTGATTGGTCTAACGGAAATTTTCGGATGGGATCTACCATTTTTGGTGAACAATCAACAAGTAAAATCCATGAACCAAAAAATGAGTTTTTCTCATTTGGTGGACATGAATCTTTATACACAGGCACAAGATTGAGCCATGTTGATTTCACTTCTTCAATCAATGTGAAACTAAGTGCACAAGACCTTGTGCCTATTGATAAGGCCAACAAGGCTTTATATCCCGCGTGTGATAGGTCCAGATCACCTATCAACTCAACAGAAAATCCAATAAAGACACTGAAAAGGAAGGCTTCAGATACTACAATTGATTTGGATCTGTCACTAAAATTAAATTCAAAGATAGATAGTGAAGGAAGCTTGGAGGATCATGAAGTTGATAGTAATTTATCACTCTCATTGTACTCTCAATCCTACTCCTCTATTAATCTTAGCAGCAGGTTGAAGGAAGCACAGGATCGTTGTAAGGAGCAAAGGAAAATTGCCAATATTCTGGATCTGACTATATGAATAAGACAAATTCCTAGTGAGATCTTGAGGTACTTGTCAGAATTTATGCATTTTATAACCAAATTTTTACATTTATGTGACAACATATTTATATTTGCATCTTGTCTCTTTCTCTATATGCACTGTCAAATACCTGTACTAGCTAGATATATAAAACATAATCTCAATTCCAGTATTGTCATAAAAATGCCAAAAGAGAAAATTTAGTGACACAGATTAGAGTAGAAAATAAAAAGTTTGGTTTTTGTACCTCCCAAGCTAGATCAATGAGTTTGCGAGATATATATATATATCCCTGCAATAGTTTTGGGATTTAGAGTGCATGTAGGGTTATAAGATTAAAAAATTATAATGATAAAAATTAATATAATCCTACAATTATATTATAATTATAAAAACACATTGATTTTCCCTTCAAAATGATGTCGTTTTAGGTTCACAGGAGATAATTTATCTCCATTGACTGAAGAAATCTTTTACCCTATTAAAAAATATAAAATATATTATTACGAGCGGCAGTGTAATAAAAATAGGTCTAACACTTAATTTTATTCTTTCACTTCATTTACATCTAACGGTTTACATGATTAATAAATTACAGCTTTGGGGTTGGGCATAAAATTTTAAAATTAATTCTTAATTTTTAAAGTAAAATAAACACAATAAATTAAAGTATCTAACAAAAGCTTCACCTTAAATTTTTTTTAACAAAAGGTAAACTCCACTGATTTTGTTTTCAAAGAAATGATTCCTCACTTTTACTTTGCTTTAAAATAAAGTATTGATTGAAGTTTTCTAGTATTTTATAGTATTTCCATATTTATATGAAATCTGAAAAATAAATTTGATGAATTAAAAGAATTCACTGAACAAGAATGTTTTAATTCATGCAATAAAAAAATTGAAAACGAAAAATCAGTGGAGTTGGTTTATCTTTTGTTAGATACTTTTATTGAGTTTAATGTACTTCAAAAGTTAGGATGATTTTAATGTTGATTTATCAGTGTTAGTAACAAATGATTTTTAGTTCCATAATTCATTTTTACGTAACAGATTACAGCACATTAATATATTAGTACAGTAGCATTTTAGTTTTTTTATATTATTTATTTAAAGTGGAAAGAATTTTTAAAGAAATAAAGTATTTTGGGAAATATCTATTATAAATGTTTTAGATGATATTTTATGCAATAATTTTTATTCTTTTTGAAGTTATTTGATATTAATTAAATTGTAATATATATGCTTTAAAGAAAAAATTAATTGATTTATATTATACACTTATTTGTATTTATTATTCACCTACCATACTATTTAGTACTTTATTTTGGTATAAAATAATTCACAATATCTAGTGCTTAAAATAAATAAAAAATATATAATATAATGTATCAATAAATATTTTCTGCAAATTATATATATATATATATATATATATACTTTAGAGAAAATATTAATTGGTACTTTATGTTATATACTTTTTATTATTTTTACAATTCATAATTCGGCACTAAATATTGTGAATTATTTTATACCAAAATTCAGTACTAAATATTATGGTAGGAGAATAATAAATACAAAAAAATGTATAATATAAAATATTAATTAAATTTTTTATTTAAAGAATATATATTACAATTTAATTAATATCAAATAAATTCAAAAATAATAATAATTGCATAAAATATCATCTCAAACATTTATAATAGATCGTTCCCAAAAATATTTTATTTCTTTAAAAAAATTCAACTTTAAATAAATAATATAAAAAAAATACTATTATACTAATATTTTAATGAATAGTTTACTCTCTCAATGTTTTGGTACTGAATTATGGTCCTTAGAACAATATGAATGAGATGTTTCCCAAAAAAAAAAAATGTTTATATAAATAGATTCAGATATCCCTAATATCATTGTAAAAAATTAAAAAAATGCTAATTTATGTTAGAAAAAATTAAAATGTAGGACTTGACTATCTTCAAAGTATAAATATATTTTTTAAAGTAATATAAAAGTGGAAAACCGTTTATTTTGGAATAAAATTAGTGCAATTTTCCTTCCTTTTATTTTTTTTTACGAGTTAAACTAATTTTCTTGCAAAGACAAATATGTGTGGGTTACGAAAGCAGAAAAGATGGCAAGTATGCTTTGTTAAAATCTTAATTTATCATTATAATTTTACATTTTTATAAAAAAAAATTCATCAAAATAATTTTACCAATATTTTAAACACTTTTACATTTTTACGATATTTTTATATTTCGATTTTACGTTTTATGATTTTTTAATCCTCTTCTGATTTTATTTAAAATCTCGATTTTAACAACATTGCTTATAAAGAAAAAAAAATAGAAGAGAAAGGGAAAAATAAAGCAATTTCTAAAATCAAAATTTTAGCTTATTACAGGTCTGTTTGCAGACTAATTTAAACAAAATATAATGTTTAACATTTTTTAATTATTATTCTTGGTGACATTGGTTGTTATCAATTAAATTTTAATATATATACTTAAAAGGAAAATATTAATTGATACTTTATATTATATATTTTTTATTTTTTTAATTTATGTATAGATATAGATGTTTATGCTTTAAAGAAAGTTTTAATTGAAATTACCAAAATTTTAAGGGAAAAAAATTAAGCGTTGAATTTCTAGTGTTTTAATATATTTCCATTTTAAATGATCAATGAAAATATTAAATTAAATGTTTAAATAAATGAGAGTGCAGTCAAGGAAACTATCATCACAGAATATATTAAAAATTTATAGCCTTTAAATAAGCATTTATTAAATTATTTTGAATGTTAATTTTTAAATTTTAAATTAGTTTTCAAACAGACCTTAAATATGATAAACAAATATATTTTAGAAACTGTTTTGCTTTTCCTTTTCTATTTTATTTTTTTCTTATAAACATACTTACCATCTTTTCTGCTTTGGATTCACCTAGACATATTTTTCCTTCCCAAGGAATTAGTTCAACTCGTCCAAAAAAAAAAAAAAAACGAAGAAGAAAAGAAAAGGAATATGTATTGAAACTAAATAAAAATAATATTAATTTGTATCGTATCCATTGCATTTTATTTATTTGATATGATGATTTTTTATTTCCGTTTACTAGTATATGATTAGGATTTTCTCACATAATATGATCTTATTAAATAAAATATTAGAGGTTTCATTCCCAATGGAAATAATTAATTAATATCATTTTGGGTACAATTATGCGAGTATTCGCGCACACACATGGTAGCGTCCTAAATTAATTTTACAGATCGAAATTTTTTCTCTCGGAATATAAAATTAGGAAAAAGATAAACATGGGGAATAGATTGCAAGATACTCGTTCTTTTGTTCGTTTGTGAAATTGTTTATTTGCGTGATTGTTCCTTCTGTTCATGTATTTATTTAATTCACTTATTTTTTTATTGCACGGTAAATGACAAGCATCACAAAAGTTTGGAGTTGGATTATTTCAGTGACATGGGTAAATATAAAATAGATGCGAATTCAAAATAAGAGTTTCATTGATAGATTTTGCCATAACTGGCTAGATTACAATGTTAAACATTGTATCCTATTCATAGGGAAGACATTATTGAATAACAAAAACATTTTATTTTATTTTTTTAAGTCTATGTGAATGAAGTGTCTTCCTTCTTCATCCCGACAGACTCCAGAGAATGGTTGCCCAAATCAAAAGAACTGGTCGTTCCTCAGCCTCTCTATCTCCTGAATCAGAGCCTCCCTCTCAACTGAAACCATAATCAAACATTTAATTACAGTTAGTTGCCTATAAAAATTGAAAACTTAGAAATATAAAATGGTTGCACTAAATGCTTCCCACAATTTCCATGATTCTCTTTATAAATAATTATCTATATATATGTTTTGATTTAATAAATATTTATTTATATAATATTTATTATATAAATAATATTTAAAAAAATTAAAATATATAAATGAAATATATATGCATTATTTTTGTATTATTAGTACATGCTTCTATTTACCTTCATTTTCAGCATTCAGATAACTGGCAACATTGCAATAAGCTTTCAGGTTTTCGTTTTCTTCAATTAGCATATTGTATGCCGATCCAACGAAGCAAAGGTAGGATTGCATAGTTGAAACTTCAGCCTAGTTAAATAAATAACGCAGACATGTGTTAAAAATATATTATATATTCAAAGTGAAACATATTTTATACATTCGTAAACAAGAAATATTTTTAAAATGGAAAGTTGGGCTTGGGTTAATTAAGTTTTGAAAATATTATAATGATAAATAAAAACAAAGGTTTAAGGAAGCTCCGTACTCGCAGAGATTCAATCTTCCTAGTGAGTTGATGTACCCTAGCTAGCTTCCTGAGCCGATATCTCGCAGCATAGATCCTATTTGCCTGCAATCTGCAAAACATGTTTATATGAAAAATACCAACTATAAAACATAATATAATCTATTACCAGAGAGATTATATTTATAATCTCTTACAATCAAATCTTAACAGTTGATTTACATCAATTTGACGGTTCTAATTTATTAGGAATTAATAATTAATTAATAAATGTGACTCAATAAATTATAACCATTAGATTGACAGAAATCAACGATTAAATTATTTAACCCAGGTTTCAAATTATATATATGTATAATTTACCGTTTCTTCTTAGCACTCAATTTGGGGTCTTTGGGCTGAGTGACAGCCTCAATATTGGTTGGAGTGTTGGGAGGGGCCTCCAGTTGTTGATCCCCAAGAGAAGTCAGAGAAGAATTAGCATCTTCCTTCAATAGGTATCTGGTTTGGTTGGCCATAGCCTCAGGAAGAATGGTCCTATTTTGATAATAAATAATGAACTTTAACATAAGTGTCAAAAATAATAGGAATAAAATATCACAAACAATCAAAATATTAAGAAAAATTAAAATTGAATGATAAAAGAGGTTATAAAAGTTTTGAGAAAGTTTTTCTCAAAACATCTTTTGAGAAGAGTTGCACACCTAAGCTAGACAACAAAGAGAAAGCAAA